TCAAGATTTTTAACTTAAAATTCAAGTTTTTACCCTTTCAGGACACCTCTGAACCAATTTATGCTTTCCTCAATTCTTATTGTCCACTTGGAGTTTCTCAATTTCTTTGTTGTAGGTATTCCCTTTGATGGATGGATCATTGCGTAACTTGAAGTTAGTGGTGTGGCGTTGGGTTCGAAGTTGGCTCTCATGGGAGTCATGGCCGATGAAGAGCTTGGATTGATAGTTACTGTTGGCTCTTGGGAATTGGTAGGAATTGGGGATCGGTTCAAATTTGGCTCTCAAGTACTGAGTTTAAAAATTCAGTTCCTCACTCACCCATCCCTAGGGGTGGGCAAAATCGGTTTTTGTTAAAACCGAAACCAATTTTAAAATAATTAAAATTTTTTTTTTCAATTTTGAGAATCAAAATTAAACCAAAATTTTCACAAAACTAATCAATTTGATTACCAATAAAATCAGTTTAATTTCGATTTTTGATAAATAAATATTAATAATTTATTTTTTTATAATAAATTATATTTTATCACATATTTTATCATATTTTATTATATTTATCTTATTTTCGATTTTCAAGGAACTTAATTTTGGTTTTTAGTTTTTAAAAAACTCAACCGAAACCAAACCAAAACCTATTCGGTTAACATCAAAATCAAAAAAATAAAAATAAAAAACCATTAAAACCGAACCAAATTCATTTTTTTTGTTCAATTTTCGGATAACCTGTTGGTTCGGTTTCAAATGAACAGCCCTACCCATCCCTTAACAATTGTAATTGTTCAAGAAAAGTGAAGCAGAAGAAAACAAAGGAATGTCTCATTGGACTGGTTACTATAATATCGTCCCTTGTCAATGTCTCCATTTCCGAGGACAGAACCTGGCAATCCTGCACATTGCTTGCTGGTCTAAAGAAAAGTGGTAATCAAAAACAGGACATGATAGAATCATGAAGAAAGCTACTATTCAACTACAAGAGATACAGTTCAGTAATGCAGTGTACCAGTATCCAAATATGCAGTGTCACCACCATTAGACATTTCAGAACAGTTAATACAAGTTCTGCCATTGCATATCTCACAACTGACATGCCAAACTACGGGGAGTGAGAAGTAAATCACTGGGAAAGGTAGCCTATGCCTTACGAGGTGGTGGTGGTGAACTACTACTGCTGCTGTTGCTGCTGCTTCTTCCTCTCATTGGCCTGGTGCATTAATAAACATAATCATGTCAAAAGATTGATAACCACAGTTCAGATTAACCAATAATTTGAAGCAGCAAATAAGCCATCATATTGAGGTCACCAGAGAAATTTTAAGAACCAGTCTTTAAATATTTTTTTGGTATGGTAAATTATATTATTCATTGTCACAAACTATAAGGATGACAGTTTAGGGTGCAGGACCCCAACAAAGCAACTTCATAATGAATCACAGTCTACAGGAAAATTAGCTCGCTTAGCAATTTTAGAGTTCGAACCTTTGACCTTGAAACCAGAATCAAGGTTTTTCACAAACAAAACAGATCACTATTAGTCTGCTTCACCAACTCTATAATGAATTAATATCATAAAAAATGAGAAATTTAACTGACGTTTGTCTTTTCATCAAAAGCATAATTCATTCCTATAGGGGAAAAAGAAAATGTTATACTGAAAAATATTACCTTCTAGGACTGCGACTCTTTGATACCTTTCCAGGTGCCTATTATAAGTGAAAGTAATGAAGGTAGAAATTAGATACATAGCAAAAAAGGCTCTTCCTCAAAATAAAAACTAGCAAACACAAACCTTGCGTGGACTAGGGGACCTAGAATATGATGATGACCTCCCACGTCTAGCAGCTGCTGGACGACCAACTCTGATTTATAAAGAAAAAGGAAAAGGAAACACAAGATATTAACTAAAAAAATTAAGAATAACAGTCCTTTTTTTTTATATTTTCCAAAGATTAAGATTTTGGGGACAATTTATGTATTTACCTATTTTACCTTTAAGAAATAGATAAAGGACGATTAGTTTGAGACAAATTTTGAGTAAAAAAAGAACAATTATTTTGGGATAGAGGGAGTACATTCTGTAAACAAACTGCAAAAAACAAGGGAAAAAACAAACACCCATGAAAAGAAAGATATCCAACCGCCAAAACTAATATCAACCCATAAGACTGAAGGCACAAGCAAATGCTTCAGTACTCTAGTCCCAAAAAGTTCATCAAAACAACCATTTGCTTACCTCATCACAACCAAATGGCACTCATTGCAGCAAAAATGGAAAAGAAACAAAGGAAAAAGAACAAAAAATGCACCACCAAAAAGGTTCGGGAACTCAATGCTACCTCCGTGGTGATATTGATCTTGAACGAGAGCGAGCAGGCCTACGAATTGGAGAGCGGCTGCGTCTACGAATTGGAGACCTTCTGAGGGGACTACGGGCTCGCCTAGGAGGTGAACTGAAATGAAAAAACTCATATTATGGGTTTACCAGATAAAACCAAATTATGTAAATCAACAAGTTAAATAAATTTTTTATAACATTTTTCCCCTTCAAAAGTTATTATAAGTTAATGAAGAACATGGAGAAAATGCCAAGCACAAGTACCAACTTAAGTGTACACAAGACAATGACCAAAATTAAAATGAGTAACCACTTTATTTCTTTCCACTAGCCACATTTACAAGATGGTTAATTTCAAAAATGTCATAAAACAATCAGTGTTCAGTCCACCAGGTTTATTAGTAACAATTCTGGAATTAAACAAATAGGCTTGAAGGCTTCCAAAGTTCTTTTATACCATAAACTAACCTCTCAAAATCTACATGCTATGTGCAAAATGTCAACCAAATAAACATAGTACAGATATTCCATCCAAAATCAATAGGATTAAAAAATAATAAGTAAACATTGTCACCCATTCAAGGGTCACTTAAATAACCTTAACAGGTACATCCTTCATATGGTACAGTTTTGTTGATTCTTAGATTCTGAAATCTAGAATTATTTCTTGCACCTCTTTGTGAAGTTCAACCATATTAACTATATACTTCATGAATACTATTAGAGCTTTATGAATAAAATGGATAATTACCGGCGTCTTGGAGGAAGAGGAGAACGTCGTCGAATGGGACTACCACGATTCCTTCTAGGAGAGGCTCTGTAAAAATTATGATGATTCAAAAGTCTTTTCAAGAACAGTTATTCCAATGATGTAATCATATCAAAAGCACAAACCTTGGAGGAGATCTAAGCCGCCTTGGTGGAGAGGATGGTGAACGACCTCTGGTAGGAGATGCTGGTCGGCGCCTAGGAGCTGTCTCACCACGGCGATAAGGTGATCCAACTCGGTGACGAACAGGAGAGTCTGCACGTCGACGAGGAGGAGAATCCAACTGTCGTCTAGGAGACCCACCTCGTCGAGCTGCTGGGGATCTCCTTTGTGGCGATGGCTGGGGTTTCCGAGGAGGAGAGGCTGAAATAAATAATAGATAGATAAATAAATTGAATTATCCTTAAATACACAAACCAAGCATAAAACTAATGTTGTACTGAAGGGCATACATTCCCTTGGCCGCTTTGGCCCATCCTTGTCAACATCAGCACTGGCATTGTCAGCCTTTAAAGTATCTTTCTTTGGAGCAGAAGCAACTCGCTTTGGGGGTGAAGAAACCCTCTGTGTACGAGTCAATGTAAACTTTGCCTGTACAACATTGCCATCTATTTGGGCCTGCATCAGGAGAACCAATAAGATCATTTTGGAAATTAGTGTAATTGTGTAAATACCGCAAGCAATTTTGCTCCAACACTGTATAGAAACTTACACCATCCATGTACAGTAAGGCCTTTTCAGCATCTGCCCTTGTCTTGAACTCCACATATCCATATCCTCTAGGAAGATTAAGCTGTGAATATGAATACGTTCAGCAGCAAAAATTATCAGCAAAAATTATAATTCATTACTACTATTATAATATGACATGCATGAACTTACTACACGGTCCATTGCCAGCTCCACATGTACCACTTCTCCAAAATTACCTGCGAAGAGGGGGGAATATAATAATCATCATCATAGTTAAGGATATCGAGATTTAGACATCCCAATTCCCAACAACTCCCACAACAACTAACAGGAACATGATTGCCACGTTTTAACAAGGACATGGAGATTCAGACTTGAAAACCAGTAAAATTCTGGAAAAAGAGAGTTTCATATCATGTTTTTATAGCCAGTTTGTCATTAGCTACCCATCCATGAAGAATGGAGTTGCCCTGTTGTTGCTAGCAAGTAGTCAAGGTAAAGGACTATTATAACTTGGGACTTCAGGGCATCATGGCTTCAGGGCATCATGTTTTTATATTTGAATTTAGTAAGTATTGATATTTAGACAGTGCTCAAACGCTTGCAAAGAAGAACCATAAATGGTAGAAAATGGGCCATGGTTATGGCTACACAAAGAACTTTTAAGGCCATAGAAAAATAATAGAAGTATACTTGGTTCGACAGTTAGGAACAACTGAACTGTAAATATTAGTCAATAGCATATAAAACAGCTGGTATTTATTATTTACAGTTTAAAATCAGCCTATGAACTGATGTTTTAATGCACCTTAGCAGCCTAAACAGATTTAAGTATTTTGTGTGGCCATAACATGGCCCGAGAAAATGGCAAATGCTGGAACATTCAGGTTCAAGTTACTTGAAATAATCATAGTATCATCATAAACTGAAAATATTCACACTAATTGAGTAAAATTATACTGTAATTGTAAATATGACTGTCCAAAACGAACAATTGTAGTTGGTCTCTCTTAAAATGTTGCCAAATTTTTAATATTAGTGTTGTATTGATCCTAGGTTCTGAGCATAGAAATATAGTTTTAACAACAGAGAGGAACCAGCATTGCCTGTAAGCACAACCAAATACAGACAAAATGCTTGAAGGCGCTAAAAAAATGGTCTCAAGGTAAAGAACATACTGAATATTTCTTTTAGATGGCCTTCATTGACATTCCTGCTGAGTGAGTCAACATAAAGAACGAGAGACTCGTGAATAGGAGAAACTTTCCTGAAATGAGTTGTTGGTAACAAAATAAATAAGGAGAAACTTTAAGCTGATAAACTTCTATGATTATTACTAAAAGAAGATATTACTATTATTACTCCCCACAAAAGTTATTTAGTAAGAGAAAATAAATTGAGTAGAAGGTGTCCTATACTCCCACAAAGCCTCAGCAGTTGCTGATGCTTAACAAATCTAAAAACAAGGGAAAGAGAAATGGCAGATTTCAAACTAACAATTCTATCAATACCATACTTAACTACACCAAATAATATATGTGAGCATACATATACGAACACACATGGCACAAACATAATACCTGTTAACAGATCCAAAGAAGGAAAATGATAAGATGTTTTTCTCTGCTAGCAAGACAACCCTCTATATTGTTGAAGAATAAGTATAAGGGATTTTTGAGTCATCTTTTAATTCTCTTTTAATTAAAATATTTTGCAATACCAATCACCAATTTTCAATAAACAAGAATAAATTTAACATAATGTAGAATAATGACAAAAATGCCCACAGAACTTTAACAAAATTGCTTAAAACAGTAAGGACAACGCAGTTGCTCCATACCTTGTAGGCGGAGATGTTTTCTTAGATTGTGGTGGGGGTGACCGACCTCGCTTAGCTACTTTGGTGGGGCTAAGGAAAAATGGAAACAAATATAAAACTATCAGATTTTCTACCGGATCACAATCAGAAACACCAAATTATAATGATAGTCAAAATATCCAAGAAATCATACTTAAACTTGATAAAGGCAACATAACTGAAGAGCATGGCGTTCCCATCGCATGGAGAACATTTCAATCCTGCTGTCAAAGTCTTAACTAAATAAGAAGACCCCGTAATTAACTCACAACTTTCGATTTGCCCTCAATCAGATTTACAGAAAAGATTGAAGTCCATTTGGCACTTTCCTCCTGATCATGAGGATAATATCTCAAGAAAATTGGATTTTAGCATTGGTATTTGCTGAACTGAGAATTGGCTTCTAAAATCCCAAATGATTAAAAATTTCATGCTCAAACTTTCCAGTACTTATCTCTTCGAATACTTCTTCTCTTTCACAACCAAATGCAGTGACTATATGTGCAAAAAAGTACTTAATTGAGAATATTTTACAGTCAAGCATAGCCCACTAAAGAAGCATTTGATGAAGGACAATACTTTGCGATAAAATATACCTTATCACTGATAAAGTTGTTCATTTATGAAAACAAAATAGCACAACCACATTTCTAGTAATGCCGAACAGAAAGTGAAAAACTACAAAAGAGGACAAGATAAAGAAAGAGCCACTTCCCTTCTCCATGGAAGGAAATTTGATATTAATTACTGAGTATAATTTACCACCAATTATAAACTACAAAAGAATCATTAAACAAAAGATAATACTTGACCACTAACAATACATTCATTTAAGCAAAGAAAATAGCACTAACCACGTTTCAAATAATACTTGACAAAAAGGACAAAAACCTAGGGGGGAATACAGAATAAAGAATGCTCCCCTTAACCAGGGAAGTCAATGAATAAAAAAATAGCAGCTCTTCCTTATCCTGGGAAGTCAATTATGTTAGGTATCCAATTCTACTCCTAGGAAATTTGAGAAATTTTGGAAAGCAAAATTTCATCTATCAGTGTTTATTAATCTTAGTCAATCCATCAACTAAAGCCATAAGTTGAAAAGGGTGAAGTGAGATGGAATGCCTAGAAAGTTGAAATCTTTCAATTCAGTTACTAACATACAAGCGACCAAGAAGCATTTAATGATTAACCAATATACTAATATTCAGCATTTAAGGATACAGTAATCTCACTTGATCAACCCTTTATGTGACCATGAAAGATTAACCAATATAGTGAAATTCAGCATCTAATGATAGAATAAGTTCAGGTTATAGACTATATATGGTGCCCAGAAGCATCTCAGTACTAATTACAAGCACAATAAGCCTGTCCTAGTGCAATTCAGCACATCGTACCCATAGCACCATTAAGAAAACAGGCCAATTTTTCTCAGCAACCAAAACAGCAAAATTATGAATCCAATCCGTCGTGCACATAGCAGCATTGAGAAAATTAGGGTCAAAAGCTACAGGCCACAAGTACTGGGAACTGACCTTCGACGCTGAGGAGGACTGCGGCTCCTAGAGCTGCCACTGTGGGATGGAGAGGAAGAGGAAAATGATCTTGATCTCGAGCGAGAACTAGAAGGAGATATAGACCTGGAACGAGAGCTGGAACGCGAATCTGAGCCAGTGTAGGAACGGGACTTGGAAGGAGACCTGGAGGACGAGCCAGATCCAGAATCGGAGACGGAGGGTGCGCGGCGGCCTCGTGTAGGCTTCGCCATGGCGACGGCGGAATGGAGAATCGGAGCCCTAGATAAACCCTAGGAAAACCAGGGAGATTTTCTGGGGGTTATTGTAAAGCGCGGAAATTTTTATTTCCATTTTTACCGCCCTCGAGAAATGGGCTTAGATTTTAATCGAAAGGCTGGAGCTAAAAGTTCATGAGAAAACCCAATATAATTGTTTGGGCTCTTCTTGAGAGCTCAAGCTCAACGATCTGGTCCATCAGCAAAACACAGACAGAATCATTTCTTTTTTGGCCCAAGAAACATTTCTTTTCTTTATTATTATTTTCTTTTTGGAAAAAATA